ACAAGTGTTTTGCCTGCATAAACAATATATTATTTTTTTTCCCCTCCCCGAGGTCCACACACACCTAGTTTCCCTCAAGCTCATCATCTCTGTCAGGTTAATCAATAGGCACCGTATGGCAGAGGGTCAGTAATCAGTGTCATCGTGCCTTTAAATCGTGTTGAAAATTTGCTTAAAGCCTGGGCCAATTAACATCGAGATGATGAATGGATGGGTAGATGGGAAGAGCCTGGCGCTCAGGGGCTTTGTGAGAAGGAGATGCTCAGCTGTTGAGCAGCAGACACCAGCGAATAAAATCAGCCATTCATGTGAGCTCAGTCCACCCACTCTTAATGATAATGTCAATCTAGCAAAATATATACACATTGGAGTTGTCATGAGTTCATAAATCAAAGGAGTTTGTCAAAGGCATTCAGATTAACGAGGCAGCAGCAATAACAAGTCAAATTTGCATAGAGAATTGCCCGAATCTCAGTAAATTATGATCCTGTTTTTCATTTGATTATTTGCTAATGTCTCAAGAGGGAGAATGATTATATTAGCATGCAAAATCTACTCCAGAAGTAGAAATCCGAGGTATAGCAGACCAGCACACGATGACAATTAATCAGTTTCTGCATACTAGCATAAACACGCAAGGCCCAGAAATGAACTCCTTTTTTATTATTATTTCTCCTTGCTACTGATCCAAATGGTTCAGCTTGACAGAGACTTTATATTGCTTTAACAGTGTTCTGAATTGTGCCTGCAGGCAAGACATAGTTATGCAGCTATAACCAACCTATCCATCTGCCAACCAGATTGGAATTCTCCTATCCAAGGCTTCCATTAACCCCCACTGACAGCTCCAAACAGGATTAAGAATTTGAAAGCATAAAAAATAGTTGTGCTCTTCACATAGACACACGCTTCTCCCCCACCCCCACCTCCACACACTTGGAAAAAAGGCTATGTCTGTACTCTTTTATAATTAGTGCAGGGCAGAACAGCATCAAAGAAAGCCTCTCCCAGTTGGCAGGGGTTTGATTTCCACCACAAGAGAGGCGGTACTAAAGGTAGCTCTGCCCAATTGGTAGTCCCTGGTAGTGCATTTCTCCATGTATTATATCTCATTCCCAGCAGTGTTTTGCTGGGCTGTGTACACAAAATACTGCATGTCATCTCCTGTCAAATGCTTCGGTCTGGGGATTTCGTATGCATTGTAGCATGTTGTGTTTAGTAGTGGAGGAGGCTTCATGGGGAGAGTTAAATAGTAATAATTTCATAGTGGTCTTTAAGACAACCTGCCATGGAGTTATATTCTGTTAATTACAGGCTGAAGTTTTAAATGCAAATCAGATTTAAAAGGATCTCGTTACAGGCAGTAGCCATTTTAGGAAAAATGAGCTATGGAAGGCAGAGCCTCTTTGCAGGAATCTCCTGTTAGAGAGGGTTCAGGGTTACAAGAACTATGAGCTTGGGTTTCCTGTCTTCTCTTCTCAGAAATTCCCCTGTCATTGTGTGACCTTGGGAGAAAAAAAAAAAAATCATTTGCCTGTCTGTAGAAAGAGGGGGTGCTTTGGAGACTTCAGCATCTAATCTCGCCTGTATTTGTTCAAAAGAAGAGACCCTTGCATGCAAGCACAAACACTTTTAGCCAGCCCAGCTTTAGTCAAGGTTTGCCTGTGGGAAGTAAAAATTTTCTCTGGTGGAAGGGAGTTTGTATGGCTTTTCAGCTTTCCATGTGCACTAGTTTCCTTTGCTTCTTTCCCTCTAACAAATTCCATCGTTCCCCTACTATGTATGAAGTACAGTTGCTGCAGATCTTTAATATTCCCAGTGAGTACACCCAACTTACCGTCTGGATACCAAATGCTTCTTTCCAGGTCTGTGCCCGGGACTTGCATTTCAGTAACCACGAGAGGGTGCTCAGAGCGGTTCCTCCCTTTGTCTGCCTCTCCTGTGGCCGAGAGCATCGCTGGAGTCCTGCTGAGACAAACCTTATTCTGACCTCGCACATGTTTATCCCTCCTCCCACCTTGTTCAGCAAGGAGAAATATATAGATGTACCGTTTCAGTCGATTACATTATGCTCTTCCCTTGGCCATGGCTAAGTGTTGCCCTGTCAAGTGAAATTCACTTCCATGCAGCTACAGTTAGTCCTGAAATATGCGGGGTCCTGTACCTGCACCTGGATTGATAGGTTTCTTTTTCCTGAGAAATGAGCGGGAGTTATAAACATCTGTGCTTTTTCTTAAGTGTAATGCTTTCCAGTCATTCTGTCTTCACCAAGCGTAACTTACTTGCCGACAAAAGTGCATGAGCAGCGCTCCTCTTTAATAGTCTGCTATCGGAGCTGCTGTGTTGGTGCTGTAGAATGGTGAGACACCAAGCTGTGAACCACCATATGCACTTGGCAGTCTTTGTCTGGTCTTTGTTCAGCCAACCTCTTAGCCTTGCCACCTATAAAGATAATGAATGCAAAATGGTCCTCTGCTTGCTCTTAAAATTAGATGCTCAGCTTAAAGAAAAAGTAGATAACTTGATGCTCTGCAGTAACTAGAAATTTCAAAATAAGGGCTAACAGTTCACCAGCACTTCCTGCTTTTTGATGTTTGTTTGAGGTTTGTATGTTAGTGGCTTTGGAAGGTGAGAAGAATGCAAGATTTCACTGTAGAAGAGAGATTATTTGGAAGGGGAAATAGATCAGACACATACTGTAGGGAAGGGGGTGGCTGTTGAAAATGAATCCAGAAGTACTAAACAACCCCTTTACCCTACAGCCACAACAAAATGCATTTCCTGGAAATCTGTAGTAATTCACCTCAGATTCTTACAGTTTTCACTCTTGACCTTTTTTTTCCCCCCAAAGCACAAAAATTAAAATCCTAACTTGAATGAACCACTTACTAAACTAAATTTCATGAGCGGAAAAGAGCAGCTTTAATGTCTGACCTTCCTTTTTGTATATATGTGATTCTAGCTTCTATGTTTTTATGATCACAGTTCTTTCAAAGCAGGATTTAATGTAATAACTTGGTCATGACTGTGACCTCATACAAAAACTTTTAAAAGCTGCCCTCTTACAGTGATCTATCAGGCCTGTTTAGGATTGATTTCCATTATAAAACCCTGGTTGCAGCATCCCAAATGTCATGGTGCCTTACAAGTTCTATATCTTGTTTAAAAAAAAAAAAATTCAAAATCACTAGTTGGTCTGCAAGCCTTGATTTACTCCTGACCAGTTTATGACATCCCAAGTGGGGTTTTACTGTAGCGTCTGTCTCCCTCCACCCCTTCTCTGCCATTTCTCAGCAAACAGCTCCTGTCCCTGCCCTGTCTCCTGGCTGTCCCTTTGCTCCCAGAGCAGCGATTCCACACTGCCCTGCTGGTGCCAGATCCCGCAGCACCGCCGTGGGCACACGCTGTGCTCTGCTGTTCTGTTCTGCTCTGCTCTGTTCTGTTCTGCTCTGCTCTGCTCTGTTCTGTTCTGTTCTGCTCTGCTCTGCTCTGCTCTGTTCTGTTCTGTTCTGTTCTGCTCTGTTCTGTTATGCTCTGCTCTGCTCTGCTCTGCTCTGCTCTGCTCTGCTCTGCTCTGCTCTGTTCTGTTCTGTTCTGTTCCGTTCTGTTCTGCTCTGCTCTGTTCTGCTCTATTCTGCTCTGCTCTGGCTTCCCGCAGCCGCCGTGCTGCTGCTGACCCTGTGCTGCCACTGCTCGCAGGGCCCTGCTCCCCCTCTGCCAACAGAAGCCACTTCTGTCTCCTGAGGTGTTGGGCTGGAAGCTGTCTGTGAGGAGACAGGCACAGCCATGCTCAGTGAGGAACAGGTTATGTGAGGGACAGGTACAGAGTGCAAACTTCTACTGTAATAGATGTAGTCCTGAGCTTGTCTGGAAAGTAACTGGAAAACCACCCTTCTCCTGGCAGAGCTCTTCCTAGGCAGTTTTTCTGTATCTCTTTAAAACCTGTTTAGTTGCTCACTACTGAATGTGTGGGAATGTGGCCCAAGGCTATGAATACTGTGGTGATCAAACTGATTTTAGATATGTGTGTGTGGGATTCCCCCAAAGCTGCTGTCATTTCTCCTTCAGTGCTGTATCTGAACCTTTGCGAAGGAGCACTGTCTTCCAGAGCAGCTGACTTTGGCAGTGAGGTCAGGACTCTCCACTGTATCCAGCAGTTTTTACCTAAACATTTGCAAGAAACTATTCACATCCTGATACAGCTATAGTTTGTCTTTAAACCAAGCAATATTTGGTTTTAATCATGACATTAGCAGGACAAAATTTTCCTGATTGAATTTTTTATTCATGCTGGAAAAGCCCTTGTATTTCTTGTCTACCTTCTCTTGTCTTACTGATCTTTTTATTGGAGGTGACAGCTTACATTTTGGAGAATCAGTCTTTCTCGAAATTGCACATGTATGTGGAGTCAGGGGGCAGGAGAGAAAAACATAGTGTATTATCATAGACTACCTACACAATATTTGGGGTTTTTTTTGGGGAAGGATTTCCTGACAACCTCTTTTACAAGAATTTAGCTCCACCATAATTTTTCTATGATTTTAGGCAGCCAGGAAGACTCAGTGCAATTAATAATTGTTAGGCAGATTAAAAACATAGGGGCATAGAGAACAACAGTTGCACCCATTAACAACCTCTTGTTTTCAACAGGTTCCACTGTTTTAAATGGCTGTTCTAGGGTGTTCAGGAGCACCAGTGTTACCATGCTGATACAACCACCATTTCAGCTTTTGGAAGTGGCTGTTATTGGTAGTTTCAGAATAAATCCCTAAAGCACAGGCTTCTTCAATAGATACCTGCACAGTGGTGCATTGTTGTGTTGAGGAGGAGAAATTCTTTCTCTGCCATAACAAGCTGTTTGGCATAAAAGTACAAGTTAGCCTGCAGTATGTATATATGTAAAATGCTACAGCATGTATAGGAAAAATATTCTGTTTCTTTCCTCCTCGCAGAGTAATATTAGGGATAAGAACTGAATTAAAGCTTACTTTCTTTCACAGAATTCCTCTGAGAGAGAAGACTGTAATAATGATGAGCCCCCTAGGAAGATCATTCCTGAGAAGAATTCACTTAGACAGGTATGTGATCAGTCTCTTTAAAAATGCGATAAAACTTTCTAGCTATTTGAATCCTTAAATGCTTCTGGAAGCTGAAGTCTGGCTTGTGCTCATGCAAATCTTTTCTTTTCTTCTTTGAAGTCTGAGCAAGTCACATTGTACCCAGGAAAATCAGACACAGAGATTTAGTTTTCCGGGGAGTTCGATGAGTCTGAAGAAATGTATGCTTCAGTATAGTTCAGTCAACTGTGACTCTAGTTTTACCTTTGTCTGGTTGGTGTTCATCAAGACCTCTTCAGCCTTTTCTTCTGTAATTGTTCCTGTCTTGTTTGTAGTATATTTTGCCTTACCTCTGATCAAGACTCTTGAAATGTTCTACAACAATTAAACTTTTTATTGCCCTTGAAGGTAAATTTTCATGGAGATGGTATCCAGATTAATAACCTGAAAAATGACCTGCTCTTGTTTATTTTATGTTCATATAAATTACTAATGGATAAAAAGGAGAAAGGATGGTCTAATAAAACAATATTTCTTTGTCCTTTATATATAGTAAAGCAAATTCCTTACCAATTCAAAATAAATCTTTTTTTTTAATCCCTGTGGCCAACAAGGAGAGTCTGGTATGTGCTTTCTGGAAAATTTAAGTTTGGTTTAGTGATTTCTGATCCATTTTCACCTTGGTCTTTCTCCCCACTGCAACCTTCAGGCAGCAGAAGCAAAATTATGTCCATGTCTTAGCTGCCTGAGGTTGCTGCCTGGTGTATCGAGTGAAACCATTGGTGAATGTGACTCAAGTGAATACCCCAGGCCACACATTGCAACAACTGAGGAATTGTTACATTTCTTTCTGCATGTCAGCCACAAGAGCAGTGGTCTCAGGCAGATGAATAAGATGGTACAATCCTGCCCCACATCAGCTATTTCCAGGAGAAGTTGTGGGTCAGAGCCATAGTAAAGGAAGAAGTATCTTCTTGGTACAGTGCACTTGTGCTCAGAGTTGTTGGTTTTGCATGGTTGATTTGGGCTTTTTTTTGTTTTAATAATGCATTGTTTTAGGAGTGTTTAATTTTGTGGGAGGAGGTGTCATGTGAAGGACTACGTACATGTGACTAAGACAGGTCCATCTAACTGCTATAGTCCATATAAGTCTTTTAGACATGAGGCAATATGCTGGCATAATGGCTGAGGTCCTATTTATAGCTGTGAAAGATTACCTTGTAGAATTGATTAAATATGTTAGATGAAACTTAAATTGTTTCTGGCATTGAACAAGAAACAAGAGCTGGAGGAAGAGGGCAAACCTAGTAGGTCCCTACTGTGTATCCCCAGGATAGGAAACAAGGTCCCCAGCGTGCCAGAAAATCAGGGAGTTTTTATCTTAGAATTATATTTATCCATGGCAAGCCTTCAGGTTCCACCAGAAGAGGTATATGACTCTTCTTCAAAAGAAGATTCATAGTAAGAGATGTAAATTAAACAGGATCATGAATTACTTATTCGGTGTGTCTTCTCATCACACAGAGGCCTTCCTCATGATTATTGATTGAGGAAACAGATATTTACAAACTGTATTATACAAATGAGGAAAGTACAGTTTCTTGAATTGGGTTTCCATTTTGTTATATTTCAATCTGCAGAAGTATTCTTAGTGCCAAGAGAAAGCTGTCTTTTCCCTTAGGCCCACAGTTCATCATAATCAAGTAGATAACCAGGAATACAACTGAAAAACCACTTGTAGTGTCCCAAGGTTTCATATTGGAAAGAATTCAATGGACACGGTTTACACTGAAGATGGTTAGCTGTGTTGCACAATATTGATGAGATGTTGTATCAGTCTCCATCTTTGTGTCCAGTTCTTAAGGTGACAGATGCAGGACAAAATCCTTGGTTATATATTGCTATCTGGGGCCTTTGTGTTGAGAATAGTCTTTGTAAATAAATTCAAGATGTAGTCTTAGTCTTGAAGCAAGTACCTTCTTGTCTAGATCATAGGAGGTGGTTGTCCATGATTTTTTGCCTGTTATGGAAGGAATTATGGTTCTTTACATAGACATAAATAAAGCTGTCTAAGCATTTTGAAAGTTCAGATGGCTCCTGTTCTCTATTAGCAATGGACAGGAGCAGTGTGGAGTTTTCTGACTCTTGTTCCAGAAGTCAGACACATCTTTAACCATGTGCCTAAATACACACAATCAATGAGTAATGCTTACTGGAAAGATCTAGCTTCTCCTATAGGAAGGTATGCAGAGTGACTGCTATGTCTTACATCTATCCATACTTTGTAGAACCAAAAAAATGTGACCTGCAAATGCTGTCAAAGCAGTAATACACAAAAAAATAAAAAAATGCCTGCCATTTTAGTGGAAAGATGCTAACTCGGTAAATATTGTGTAAACAGTTTTACATTTTCTGTTCCTTCTGTAAGACTCCTTTAATATTTCATTATTGGGGAACATGGACCTACATCCACAGAGAAATTGAGTGTTTGTGGGTAGAACATAAATCTGTTTATTTAAATGGTCTTTCCAGTGAACATACCCTCATATTTAGTACTTTTTGATTAGTCTTAGAAAATTAATGAGATACATCAGACCACTTCAGGGTAAGTACTATGTTTTGACATGTTCAGCTGCTAACAAGTTTAAGTAAAGGTGCATTTCCTTTTCTTGCCTTGTTTGCAGTGCTGTTATGCAGCCTTAGCCATAATGTTTTCTCAGATGGGTTTGTGGATCAGACACACCAGAAGGTGGAGGTGTTAAGGAGGTGTGATGCTTACTTATGCATCCGAAGTTGTGTGCAGGGGCTGAAGACATCCATTGCTCAGTGCTATGGAACTCTTAGTAAGAGAAATATCATTTTGCTGTTGATTAAAATGGTTTATGTAAAAGGGTGCCTTCAGAAGTTTCAACAAGTGGGGCTGTGTCCTTGAATTGCTGGAAGTGGAAGGCACGGCCGCTGCTGGGTGCATGTGGGGGCAGCAAGGCAGAAGAGACATGGAGATTAGCACTGGGAAACAGAAAAAGGCAATGAACTTGACACTATTAGCTGGAACAGTGAAAAGATCTAAGCTATGACAGGCTTTGGAATATGGATGCAGACATTCAGTTTTTGTTGAGTGTTTGATCTGACAAAATTAAATTTTGAAGCGATAAACTGAAAATCATAGTATGAAAACAGACCAGAAAAAAAACAATGACAAGTGGCAAAAGTTTTTGGCAACTTTATTTAAGCTAACAAACGAATTTTCACACTGCAAAGTTATAAATTAATTTTAATAGGCTGATCCAGATGGTCCATTTGGAAAATGGATAGCTTGATCTGTTGAAAATTAAACTAAATTTATCTCTCTCATACTTCAAACTGAAGTAAGCGTGAGAAGAGTGCCCATTAAGTCCAGCTCATACAGATGGACCGGCAGGTCACACATGGGACTAATCTGATTCATTTTAAAAATAAATGCATGAGTTATTGAATCAGGTTCCTGTTTCAAGCCCTGCATGTGAGCGTGTGTGTGTGTGCCCTTTCAAAGGGACTTGCAAATGCTTCAGTGCATTTTTAACCTGTGTGTTTCCATTTTAATTCAACTTCCTTGCCAAAAAACATAATTAGTTTTCAGTGCCTATCATTTAGTGTTAGACCCAAACACTAGATTGATTAGGTCAGCCATTTGTTATTTTAAGGGCTATGTCTCCATCCTTCATTTATGAAGAACATGAGCTCAATAGTCTTGGGGAGAGAGCTGGCCTTTAGAAACTGGGAAGGGGAAACTCTCTGGGGGCCCCTCCAGCCTTTTAGCTTCTGGGTGTTTTTAACAGAGCCATGAATGCAGATTTGTAAATTTATTGCAGTGCCATCTGTTTTTTTTGCAGGAACCGTATTATTGTTGGCTCGTATCTGTCTATTGTGGTGGTCACTCCCCGGGAGCTTGCCCTCATAGTCCTAAGGAAAGTGATGAATAGTGGGGGTCAACATGAATAGGTCACAGGGCAGCTGTCCAGGGCTGCCCTGAACTTGATTACCCCGCTGGTTTTTAAAGAAGACGGGCACAATGCTGGTTGTTTAAAACCCTCCCTCCCTTCTCTTCAGCACAGCAATAATGAAGTGCCTTTTGCTGCTGTGGTTCATCTGTGGGCGAAGGTGCCTTGTGGGGAAAAGCTGGCAACAGCAAGGCTGCCACAGTGTACCTCCTGCAAACCTCACATTGGACTCTGCTGTCTTTCTGCAAGCTTCCAGATGGAAGTCCGGGGGAAAAAAATCCATGTCTGTTACCCCATTCAGACAAGCCCCTTAGCATTTTCAAGAAATCTCTCTCTTATGGTTTTGGCACAGAATATTACCTCAATTCACTCTTACAGATTTGAGATAATTTTCTAAAATTATATGTAGCACCTAAAACATGCTTTGGGCACTATTTCAAAGTTAAAATAGGCACCGTCTGATCTTAAGAGCTTAAAGCCTGTACTCAAGAAAACCTTGAGAAGCAGAAAGTGGCTGAAGAAGGTAGAGCAAAGGGAAAACAAGACCTAGCAATTGTTAGTGGTTTACTTTCAGCTGGCAGCCTCATCCCACTGCTTAGGCCTCCTCTCCAGGTGTATTTCCCCTCTGCAAAGGTGTTTCTGCCATGCAAAATTGAAGCCCTCTGACTGATGAAGAAACGGTGTTGAAGAAGAGAGGGTCCTTCAGCTCCCTCCACCTCTTTGGGGAAGATGCTGCACTTCAGATTTGCCTTCCAGGGGAGCTGTCTGAGGCAGGGCAGTCCTAGTCTATAAAGTTATCCTTTTACATCTTTTACATGATGCTTGGTAATAAGGAGTTGCTGATGAAAAGCCCCCTGGAATTGCTAGAGATACACCCTTAGCCTTACTTGCAAGATTATTATTTAAGTTTTTTTTCTCATTATTCTCAAACAACAACAACAACAAAAAAATCATTTCCATTCCTTTGTGACACTTAGTGTGTGTTAAAAAGCCAGCCATAGCGGGATGTGCTGGAGTCTAAGTTACAATGGGAATGCTGCC